TGCAAATACGACGAGTACTTCGATACAATCTCCTTGTCCTGCTCGCGATGCAACGCCAGCCGGAATCTCGTACCGGCCGCGGACCGTAGGTGCACGGTTTGATTTTATCCGCTCGCTGTTTGCGATTTGTTTCGCCTGTTCTACTATCCACGTGTGTCCTACTATCCCGCAGGTCTGCGATGCCAGTGCGACAAGTTAAGCGGAATGATCGGTTTCGAGAACGGCAGTCCACTTTGCGCCGCGTGCGGTCCCAACATGACCGCGACCGCTGACGGAAAGGATTGTGTCCTGCGCCCGAACGCGCCGTGCAAATGCTCCTCGAACCAAATAAAACGTAATCTCAATGAATATTTTTAGCTGACACTTCGACATTAACTTGCTGACATGTCGCGTTCGATACTGTCATCTATATTCAGAGGAAAAACAGAGTTGTGGCTAGTGTATAGTTGACAATTATAAATTTTATATATGTAGAATTAATGTATGTAGTTATATAAACTATTTTATAATTATCAATTGTAATTATAACGTCTGTAGTTTATTCAACTATAATATGTACAACAATTCTACACAATATAAAATTTAATATTAAATATAATATAAAAAAATTCTATATTCTATTCATTTTTTATTATACAGGAATCTATTATTGCATACATTTTTTGTACTCTTGCTCGCAGTGGACCGAAATATAAATGGCGCACTGCTGGATGCTGTGCTCTGCGTAACGTGCATCCAAGGCACGTATCCATCTGCCGATTGTTCCAAATGCTTGCCGTGCGGCAGTCGTGACAACAGCGGCCACGTTAATTGCGTGTGCCCGAGTACGACACGAGTGAGATTAAAAAATTATTGTCTGCACAAAGACGACGTCACTGACTGGCCGGATATCAGAGGCACATATCTGATGAAGTTCCGCAGCGAACACATCGACAGTTATTATCTGAGAAGCGAACTGCAAGTCGCGGCGCACCTTTGCAAGGTGATGAATGTTGCGCGCAAAGATCTTAGATCAATATTCATAGACGATTTCTTATATTTAAGACCCGTCTTAAATACCATAAGTAGTCTTAAGATATCATAAGTCAATTATAAAGCTGCATTAATATTTTAAGACACTACTTATTAAGGATATAAACACAACTTTCATGTGTACACATAATTTATTTAAAAATATAAATGAAAATAGATATATATTTCCAAAGGCGACTTTAGATCTTAAGAAAAAGAACCGTGATTATGAATACTGGTGTTAGACTTCTTCAAAAATATGAAAGAATATAGTATAATACAATAATGATAATTGCGATGTTATTAAAATGCGTAGTAATCGCATAGCGTATAAATTTGTGATTAACGGCTTTCAGAAGAAAGACAGAATGGCATGCGAGCATTTGTCAAACATATGCGCCCTGACTCTTTACAGTGATGGTATAGCTTGCATGTTTTTTATGCATACACCCATGGCACCTGTATGGTTGTTTTACAATAAACAAGACGCAGCGGCGGTGCTGAACAATACGAGGATATCCGAGAGATACAGTCTCAGAAAAGGAGATAATGTACGATACAGAAGAAGAATTAGAGAATGTAGAAAAATTAGAGAATTATTATCAGAGTTGTTATGATAATAAGATGGTTATACCTAGCTGAATTATCAATTAGATTTGGGTATTTATCTTTAGAGTACAATCAAGAAAATGAAATAATATGTATATTTTCAGAATACCATCCTCGATTTTACGATCGCAAGATTCGCATTAAACGGCAAATTCTTGTCCATCGGTAGACCGACTCTACCCTGTCAATTTCTGAGAAATGTAAGATTCGGTGCAAATTTCAGCAAAAAATGCAAAACTACTGCTGTTGAATTACTCAACGCACAAGTAGAATTGCTATCTCCTTATTTAGCGTTTAGAGAGGACAATAGATCATTTATACATGCATTGCCTGTGATTATTAAGTCGTCAGATCAGGTAAGATCTCAATAATAATGATAATAATGATAAAATTTATACAATAATAAAATAATTAGATTTTTTTGCTTTGTAGAATATTAAGGAAATTTCGCATCAGCAATTGGTACGAAAGTTCTTTCTGGTCGACAATGTAAGCGGTTTCAAAGCGTTACCGATGTTTATACACAGCGGATTCATAAAAGCATCAGAACTTTCCGTGCTTCGTTATATGAAATCTTTGACTATCTTGTAAGTCGCATATAATTTACGTTATAAATTCTTTTGTGATTAATCATTGTTAATTTTATTTTCAGAGTAAACGTTCAGAATAAAAAAGATCACGGTAAAATCTTCGCGCCCATTTTGATTGTGGAGTACGATGAGTTAACGTATCAAGATTTCCTTAACAATTCCGATGTTACAATAAATTACAAAGTTGCATTTGTGCTGAAGGATAACGATATAGATTATGATGTTCAGGTAAAAATTCGTATTAGTATTTTACTTTTTTTTTAAATACTTTATATATATTAGGTGTTGGAATTAATTCGTAGCGTTTTACAAGTGATGGGAAGTACTTTCATTAATGTATTTTTTAATGCTCATGTGAAATAAATAACATTCTTTCATTAAAAACGCTACGAATTAATTCCAACACCTAATATATATATATATATATATTTTTTTTTTTAGATAACTGTCGGAGTATTTACAGGAATAGCATTAATATTTTCCGGTGTCAAGACGTGGAATTATTATAAGCATAATTACAACGGCAATCTTAGTATAGCCGTGTTACTGTGGTTCCTGATCTACAGCATGGGTGCGGTTGGAAATGCAATTACATTTGTGTGCATTTGTACATGCGTGTACCTGTTTGTCTTTTATAAAGCTCAAACTATACCGTACGTTCTTCTTCCTAATGAAGATAGCGAAGGAAAAATCCGAACATACATTATCGTAGCATTTAGCTTTAAAGTAAGTAATGCAACGTAACGTTTTATTTAAAATTAATTAATTAATAGAAATCCAATTTACCATATAAAACTTGATGAAATTTATAAATTAAATTGATCATAAATTTCACAATGCTAATAACATGCAAAGAATTTATTGAAAAAAAATATTTCAGCTAGGATTTGAAACTTGAACCTCTCCGGGGCAGGATTCATAAAATTTAACACCCAACATTTTTGTTTCTTTCATTTAGATTGCAGAAATGATAGGATTCGTATATCAGCATTGGGATTTGAGCGTCTTTTTCATCGACTGGGAACAACCGAGGACGATACCCGATCAACCGAAGTACGACTCTCCGCGTACTTCTTTACAGAAATTGTATTCCAACAGATTTCCAAAGGGCGAGGGTAAATCTTCGAGAATAACATCGGACGTCATCGCGTCCAAGCGAAGGAGGAGATCACATAAGACGAACAGGAACACGAGTCCCAGTGAAATGTCCAAGTCTTCTTCGATTGAAAAATACACGCCAGATTTTTCTTCCATTTGTTCGATCGCGAGGTCGCCTTTGCAGGAGACAACCGAACGCAGTTACGTACACGATTTTCCGATCAGCGTTTGGAGAACCTACTTCATCGCAAACGAGTGGTGCAAATTGCAAACCAGAAGAAGGATAAATGTAGCATTGCAATCGATTTACACTCTGTGTTTCCTGCAGGTCAGTTGACACAAAAAAGAAATTTAATTTCATCCGCAACACAACAAAATCTGAATAATTACATCGTTTTAGATATTCGATTTGGAATCGTGGATGTTAGCGATACCGGAATCGACCGTCGCAAATGCATCCTCCGAAACGGAGAACAATTTCACGCTGCAATTCGCGATTTGCATGTTCATGTACATATTTATATATCTTTTACAATGGTTTGTTCGTTTTACATTTTACGAGAGATACATTAGAAACAGACTGCAGAAGTTCGTAGATCTATGCTCGATTGCGAACATTAGTGTGTTCATATTGGCACACAATTATTATGGCTTTTATATTCATGGAAGGTAATTTAAGCGTGTCTTATAAAATGAAAAAGATAATTAATAATATTGCTTTTGATAGATCAGTACATGGATTTGCGGATACTGATCTTCCTACTCTGATAAACGATCTGAAAAAGGAAGAAGATGATTTATGTGCGCACAGAGGCCTGGTACCCGGCACAACAGACCAGACTTTTATATTATCGTTAACCCATTCATTTAAATCATTATATGATGAACTCATGAAGCAAAAGAACAATGTATGTATGAGATTGTTTGTAGAAAAAAAAAGTGTCACTGTTAATAACACTTCATTTATTTTCATGCTTATAAAAGAAAAAATCTTGAATATTATTATACTGTTTTAAAGTAAGACCATACAATTTAAAAATAATTATTGTACAGTTTGTAATACATTTTGCACAGGGAAGTGTGGGAATTTTAAAAGGAAGCGACACACCTTCTAGAAATTGGAAACAATTATTTGAAACCAGGTCAAAAATTAGATTCTTCCTAATGCAATTTCTGGATCATTGCTTGGAAAATGAAGATTATATAATCAAAGAGCAGCACATATTAGAAAAATTATGGGACGTTCTTTTTGTAGATGCCAAAGACAAATCTGTTTTTTATATTGGTACTAGAAAATTAGAGATTTTTAATCACAAAATTTAATACAGATATTGTCGTTTTAATGAAATTAATTTTATTTTTGCAGATAACAATTATTCCTTCAACAAAGTGGTGCTTCATGGAAACGAATGGTTATTAGTGACATTTGAAATCACAGTGTTTGCCTTCTTTTTGGCATTGTATAATTCTTATATTTTCGCTTGTATAGCGACGGTTGTCATATCGCAATTATTCTTAATAATCATTAGATGCAATGTTAAGAGAAATCTCTGCAACAAATCATTATTGGACAAGAGATTCCTAATGTAACCGCGATAAAATTGAACAATAATTAATTAAACAAATAATTAATTAATACATTATAGTTATTACTTTTATAATTTATTTTCTTAGCTTATTTAGATACCTTTACACTTTACTATTTTTTATTTCCTTGTACCACATTAATATCCAAAGCGAACATTAATGATGATCATTTCCATGCTTGTCCCCATGATGTCCTGAGTAATCGATCCCAAAATATTGTTCAACAGCGATAGTTATGAGGAATGCTGGTATAGCAATTCTCCAGCCTCTCGTTATACATATTAATCCACGCATATAAGGCGATGCACTTCTTTTGTAGCGCCACACTTGATTTCTCAGCCAAGGATCTCTCAATCCTTTCTTGGCTAATTCTTCTTGAACACGTTTCAATTCTGCTACATCTTCCACTTTATAAATATCATGGTTGGGTATTTGATATGGTGGACCATGATGATGTGCGTCATGACCTCCCATCTATAGAAAATAAATAATATATTTTTCTCATTATAATATATACGTATTTTAAAAATAATTACTAACTGGTTATTAATTTCTTTGTTATTTATCAGTCAGTAATATCGTCCTAAATATTTACTTTACGTTATATATCAATACAAAAATCCTAACATTCACTCTTATATATTTTTTATATAACCTTATGCCATTCAATAATACATTTCGTTTCTAATTGCACGGTTTTCATAGTAGCAATTTTTGAAACAATATTGTTCAATGATCATAAATGATTTCTCTACTAACATGTTTTCACATTTCTTACATTTCTCTAATTACATGTTTTCAATTAGAAGTTCTATACTAGAAGTTAATTTTTATCATCCTAATATTAAATATATGCCCAAAGAAATCACTGGCCCTAAATTAAACTATGATACAGTAGAAAACGCTTCGACATTATTATAAAAAAATATTTATTATCACGTACACTGTGAGAAGGTAGTTGATATTTGTCAAGTTGAAATTATGTAATTTATCTCCTTTGGATTATTTTGGACAATTTTGGAGTAACCAGCTGATCCAGCTTTTAAATCCCAGAACTATAAATATAATATAGATAGAGCAAGCACATGGCTCGTAAAAACGTGAAAATGTACCTTAAAGCTGATAGTACGTGAACGATGAGAATGCTGACTGCTTCCCCGTGATGACAGTCGGAATTCGAAAAAAGAAATCCTGAAAAAGTAAATACGACCAATCAGATTAGCGCGTTACATAAACTTAAATAATTCTTACTGGTCATATTACTTTTCTGATATTCCGTTTCCTAAATTCCGACTATAGATTTAAACACAACAGGTACAGACAATAGGCACAAGCAACATGGAATAACGAGCCGTCCAATCAGAGTTCTGGGATGTAATATCGAACTTATACATCTGATTGAAGCTCGTTCCTTGTTGTCTGTGCTATTGTATTTAAGCGGATCCTCACGTGACAACAGCGCTTTGACATCGAACGCTGATTCTTATTTCATGCATGCGAACTTCATTTTAGACAACAAAATCAGGAGAGTTGAGCTGTGGTTTCGGCCATATTCCAACTTCCAACGTTCTGCGGTTCCGGTCGGTCCTATCTAGACTAACTTAGATTGTGGTGCCGGCGATCAACGCAGATCAGCGTGGGTTTGGTGGATGTGGCGTGGACGTTACATTTATTTGTTGGCATGAAAATTGTTACGACCGTTAAATTGTAAAGAAAACTTGTTGCAATCATGTTGGTGCTATTCGAGACGTCGGCAGGTTACGCGATATTCAAGGTAAATTCGAATTTATCAGAAATGTTAGACTTCCTAACCTAATTGAATGTGCACGTGTTGGCCTCATTTCCCAGCAGGAGTATCGCGTATGAAATTGTTTAATATGTAATATATAATATTCAGAAAATGGAAAGTTACTTTTTAAAAGTTACAGTTACTCGTTACTGAGTATAAAAAGTAACAAGTTATCGTAATTACAAATTATTGATTTTTAAAAGTAACTCGTTACAGTTATCATTGACTTGAGAAAGTAATTTTTCGTCTATGACCATCAATCACAGCCTAGAGGCTTCTATAGTTTCGAGCACTGTAAAAAATTGTGTAGAATTATTTTAGTGGATATTTTTGAGACTGCGCCGTCCCAAATAAAGAAAAATAACATATCCTACCCACTTGGAACCTAATCGCTTAAAAGTTGCAGCTTAGACTTAGTATCCGCTTGAAATATTTTTAATTCATTTTAAATTTCGTGCCTGTTGAACCGAATGGGCCTTCTACAATAAACCGTTAGTTATAAATCAGAAGTCAAAAGTTAAAAATTGACGACTGTGATTGGTCAATTTTTAGCTTTTGACTTCTGATTTATGACTAAGGTTGTGATAAAAGTCTCACTACAAATGCTTTGAAGCGTTTGATGGACCAATGAGAAGAAAGAATTTTACAAACTGACCAATTAAAAAACGTTTCGAAGCGTTTGAAACATCGCGTTGATCATATCCTAATAACTTATTGTAGAAGGCCCAGAAAAGTAACGAAATGCATGAGATGGAAATGCATGTAGAAGACATGGCGATTGTAGGGCTGTGATTTTCTAATAGTCATTAACTTTAACGCTTAATATCTCGGTTCGCAGGGCAGAGTGACGCTTTTTTCTGCCAGATTCTTTCGTTTTATGCAAAAACGCGTCGAATGAGTATAATTTCATCGATTTTTTGAGGTGATTACCCTCTATTAGACCTTTACTATAAAAATAATTTCATGATTTGTAACTAAGCAGATTACGGAAGTAATCAATTACAATGTGTATGTGTAGTTACAGGAACGATAATATGATAATACATTTCACATTGTATATTATTATTCATTTAACAGCAATACGCGAAAAATTTCTGTTATATTACGTAATATTAAAATTTGGATAAATACAAAAAATATTCAAAATATCTTGCTATTTACATAATTTTCAATATAAAATAAGATATATTTATACAATAAAATTTACATAATTTTTGTGGACTTACATAATTTCTGTAAAATTGCTTGATTTTTTATATATACAGGACTAATCATGTAATCTACGTATTTTACATCTATTATATGTACAGAAATTTTTTTTACAGTGTAAGTGACTTGTGTCATATCGTGTCCAATTATGTGCAAAATAATGATAAAAGTAACTGTAAAATTCGTTACCGTTATCAAAAAATATAACTTTGTTACCGTTACAATTGTCAAAGAAAAAAAGTAAACAGTTAAGAAAAAAAGTACCCAAAAAAATAACTTATAACTGTAACTTTGTTACAAATAACGAGTTACCTCCATTCCCTGATAATATTACATATTGTATATTATAGATTTAAATGACAATTTGCTTGTAGGTTCTAAATGAAAACAAACTTGCCCAATCGGAGGATCTTCACAAGGACTTTGAGACTCCTGAAGCAGCCAGTAGATTGTAAGTTTTTCTTTTAAGAATCTATAGGTCTATTTTTTTTAGCTGAGCTAGTGTACACTTTTTGTATTTAAAGTGAAATAAATATATGTTTTATGTAACAATAAGCAATAAACTTATTACTTCTTATAGCCTCAGTTGTACTATTCTATTTGATGTTCTCATGTATTTTTTGCTTTACAGACTTAAATTAACGTACTTTCACAAGTTTGAGGACACCACCGAAGCATTATGCGCCGCTACAGCGCTTGTAAACAGCAAATTATCCAAATCTTTAAAGAAAACGCTCAGGAACTGCTGCATCGAGGCCCACGAACAGCTGGCGGTAGCCGATGCCAAACTGGGCTGTGCCATCAAGGATAAGCTACAGTTATCCTGTGTAAGCAACACAGCAGTGCAAGAGTTGATGAGATGCATCAGAAGCCAACTGGACAGTTTGATAAGTGGGGTGACCGAGAAGGAGAGGACGGCCATGACGCTGGGTCTGGCGCACAGTCTTTCCAGGTACAAGCTGAAGTTCTCACCAGATAAGGTCGATACCATGGTAATACAGGCAGTGTGCTTGTTGGATGATCTAGATAAGGAGCTCAATAATTATATAATGCGAGCACGCGAATGGTACGGCTGGCACTTTCCTGAACTAGGCAAAATTGTGACCGACAATCTTCAATACATAAAGACGATGCATATACTTGGCCAACGAGAGAACGCTATTAAATGTGATCTGTCAGATATTCTGACAGAGGAAGTTGAGGAGAGAGTGAAGGAGGCCGCGGAAACTTCAATGGGTTCAGAGATTTCGGAATACGACGCTGAACACATGCAATGCTTATGTGTTGAGATACTTGAGCTTCATCAATATCGATCCCAACTGTCCGATTATCTAAAGACTAGGATGATGGCATTAGCGCCAAACCTCACAGTTCTCGTCGGCGATTTGATCGGTGCACGTCTAATATCTAAGGCCGGTTCTTTGACAAGTCTTGCTAAACATCCAGCATCAACTTTACAAATTCTCGGTGCAGAGAAGGCACTGTTCCGTGCTCTTAAATCGAAGAAGAACACACCTAAATATGGTTTGATCTATCATTCACAACTTGTCGGACAATCCTCAAATAAAAACAAGGGTAAAATATCCAGAATGTTGGCAGCAAAAGCATCTTTAGCAACAAGAGTTGATGCATTGGGAGATACTACAAGCTTCGAACTTGGCGCGGAGCACAAAGTGAAATTGGAGGCACGATTAAGAGTGCTTGAAGAAGGAAATATCCGTCGGATAAGTGGCACTGCCAAAGCAAAAGCAAAATTTGAAAAATATCAAGTTAAGAACGAATACATGCAATATTCAACATCTATAGACTCAACACTAACGACTAAGAAGAGGCCATTAATCGAAGAGATTGAAACAAAGGAAAGTGAGGAAATGCCTAAAAGGAAGAAAAAGAAATACAGCACGAGTTCTGAACAGATTAATGAAGAAAAGAAGGAGGAAGAACCGCAAACGGAAATAGAATCGGTTACTGTACCGAAGAAAAAGAAGAAACATAGTCTAGAACACAATATAGAACATGGAGAATGTTCTGGTACACAAATAAAAACGGAATCCGATATTCCGAAAAAGACGAAAAAACACAAATTAGAATCTAAAACAGAAGATATATCAGAAGCGTCTATTAAAGAAGCGCAAGCTGAAGAGGATCTCTCATCGAAGAAAAAAAAGAGGAAGAAGAAGGAATTAATTGAACTTGAAGATGCAACATCTGTTAAAACTGAAGAAATTGAAGAAAAATATGAAGTATCCATAAAAACTGAAGAAACATTTGAAGGAGATGTTTCAGTTGAAGCTGGAACAAGTGAAGGTAATTATAAAAATAAAAAATGTAAACATACAAGGTTTCGAACAAATATCGAACATAATAATTGATTTCCAGTTTTTATATTTCACCATTAAATATCTTGATTCGGCTAGAGAATAATTTAAAAATAATATTGCAAAAAATGTAAACATTTAGAAAATATACAGGTTTAAATCTCTCTTTACAGTAGTTCAAGATATTTGAAGATTTTTTTTAAACTGATTTCTGTAATTTCAAATATGTAATTAACATTCTAATTAATTAAGTTCTGTCATTGTTAGACTCATATAACTAAGTAGACTTATTCTATTAAATCGCACAATTTTGTAATAAATAATAAAATAGCTGTCTAAATAAGAATTTATTATTTTTATTTACAGAAAGGAAGAAAAAGAAAAAGAAAAAGGAAAAAGAAAGCGAGAAGCTGCAACAAACAATAGTATCTGCTGAAGAGGTGGAGGAACCAGTTTCGAGCGAAAAAAAGAAAAAGAAAAAAAAGAAATCAAAGCAAGATTAAACTTGAATAGGATACACAAATAGAGATAAGACTGTAGCATAAACTATTGCATAACGCATAAGACATAAAACGCTTCTTCTTTGATACCAGAAGCTTCTGATATGTCTTCTGGGTTCTAAGCTGTGTTTCTTCGGAATGTCGGATTCCGTTTTTATTGTGCACCAGAAAAAAAAGGCATAAGAAAATCAACCAATCAAAATCCTTCA